TAAGAGGAACACGAAGGAGGGGGACAGCTGATTTAATATAAAAACCGCGCCAAACGCATGGCAACATTCGGACCTGATACTCACCACTGTTTAACATTTTGACCTTAGATTCGGCACTCCACATAGTATTATACCATTCTGACCTGAGGCTCAGCACCGTTCAACATTCAAGTACCGATTTCGGCACTCCGCATCAATTGGCGGTCCGAATTCAAACGGACCAATGAAATATGCCTAGGTGCCGAATCCTATACCGGAATGTTTAGATGCTTCCCGTCCGTAATACTCAATAAATCGAGCACTTGCTTCAACTGACTTCCATTCCGGATATCTCATTTCCACCATAGAAGAAAATTTCTTCACTCACTCGTTCGACATCTGACACCAATTATTGTTACGTAAGTGGGATCGCACAATTGAACAATTGATTCACCTTTATTTGAGACAATCAGCCTCATGCAGTAAGTATATTGACTTTAATTTCAATACTGAAATAATTTCAATAAATTTTGACTTTCATTCCAATATTGAAAAAAAAAAACGGTATGCTGTAAGTACCCTTGAATTAACTTTATTGAAATAAAAAAAACATTGAAATTAATGTCAAGTTTTTATGTGGCAACGTTGTAAAATCATAGAAAAAGAAGAGTTTTTGAGGGGTTTCTAACCTAAAAATGCAAACTGGAGGTTTGGTTTGGTTTTCCTAGCCAAGTCTAATTTTCAGTTTTACTTTCTTTACCTTTTTTGTGGATTAAGATTAAGTGGAAATTTATTCTTGAGCTTATAAAAAAGATGCAAATAGATCATTGGCAAATTAGAACATGGGTAAAACAATGCTTTTGGGAGTTTTGGGTTTATATTCGAATAGATTTCGAGGGAATGGAAATCCAGAAGCGAGAGTGAAAGCCAGGCGAATTTATTTTGTATAAAGATGGAAATACATAGTCAATATACCTAGGTCGAGACTTAGGTACAGTGTGTAGGTGTGGTAGGTATTCACAATTATTTCAACTTATCTCATTTTGTTTTTAGGAAAATCCATTGATGTAAACATACATGAAAAAAATCAAGGGTCTAAAAATTTATTTACTTGCCATTTTTATGTCAAAATTTCAATATTGACTTCAAGTCAAGGTGCTTAGTGCATAGGGCTGAATAACACAAAAATCAAGACGAAACAAGCACTTCGTTAAACTACAATCAAGCCTAACTAAACTTAATCACAACTCACCGTCTTACTATCAACTCGCGCTCCTTTATCAACCTAGTCACATTCAATTTACAACTAACTGATTCTTGTCACACCGGTTCCTAATTTATCACTCGCCGACCCTTATTTCGTTTTATAGAGCTTCGTTGCTTGTAGAATTGTCTAGATAATTCGCTTCCTCTGTTTAAAGTTCGCAGGACTATTGCGCTGTGAAATGCCAATCGCGAGATTTCGAGTCATCGGGCAGTGTTTCTCCAACTTGAGAAATTTATAACAATATGTAGGTATGGGTAACGCCATCTGTTTAGTTGATGCAATGTCTAGATGAAATAATTTACTGTCTTCTATTTAAGTTACTTTGAACAATCATCAAATACGTTCTGTTTAATACGGCATCTGTTGAATCCATGTTAAAGCTTTCTCTTTTCTGGAGTAATTGATGGAAATAAGGAAGGCATTTATCTGTTCTTATATTTATCCTTTCACACTATAGGGAATATACTTTTCTTGTCTTGCTTTGGTCTTGATTTTCTGTTCTTTTTTGCCATTCTCGACTGGTTTTTGCCAAATTTTCATAACCTCTTCTCCGTTCCATCGCGTTGAGGCCTATCTAGGGCGAACTAAAGATTAACTGGTGATTTTGTTATTTTATACTTACATAATTTATTTAGGTACCTTATTCAAGTAAATGATCTAAAACCGAATCCCCTGTCATCAAGAAAGACATATAAATTAAGTTCTGCTTACTAGGTTTTCATTTAATTTGTCATGATGTTTCATTGGTGACGTAAATACACGGGCATTTCTTTGTAACGAATGTGTGACTAAAATCTTCTTCTTCTTCTTCTTTGCGGAAGCCTTAAGGCTTGTTTAACCCATTTATTTGGCGCTCCTGGGATGCCGACGACCAGCTGTCCTTCCACCTTTTGGGAGGCCGTCCTGGTGGTCTGCTGGATGCTGGTTTTCCATTTCTGGCGATTTTTGCCAGTCTATGATTTTCCATCCTGGATATGTGCTCGTTCCAGAAGCGTCTCCTAGCGCGTGTCCATCTAACCACGTCCTCTGTCTTGCACTCTTCCCTGATTTCGTTACTCCTTCTTTGATCCCAAAGTGTGTTCCCTGTGATCATTCTTAGTACTCTCATTTCATTGGTTCGTGCCATCCTTTTTGTTTCCGCTGTGTCAGCTCGTGTTTCTGCCGTGTATGTCATTACGGGCCTGACACATGCTTTATATATTCTAACTTTGGTCGGGGTTGTTATGCATGTATTTTTCCATATGGCTGTTCGTAAGTTTCCTGCTATCCTGGCTGCCTTGTTTACCTGGTTGCGTACGCCATTCTTGAGTTCACCGTATGGTGATATTGTTATTCCCAGATAGTTGAATTCAAAAACCTAGTCTATTATTTTGTTGTTTAGTTCTAGTTTGCACCTGCGCGGCCTGTCTGGTGATCACCAAGCTTTTTGTTTTGGTGGTAGATATTTCCATGTTAACTTTTTCGGCCTCTTTCTTAAATGCCTGTAAGAGCCATTGCAGTCCGTCTTCCGTATCTGCGAATAGCGTTGCGTCGTCTGCATAACATATTTAACATATTATTTTAATTTGTTGGTTTCCCATCTTGTGTCCCTGGTCTATCTTGCACACTTGCTCTATTATTCTGTCCAATATGATGTTGAACAGTAGTGGACTGAGACTGTCTCCCCGTCGTATCCCTGTGTTTTGTTCTATTTTTTCTGATGTTGTTAATTCTGTTCGTATTGTTGTGGTGTTGTTTGTGTTGAGGCTCTCGGACCGTCTCCGTGATGCTTGGGTGTATACATTAAACGCTAACGTCCTCGAGTCTTATCCTGTCGAACGCTTTCGTCAAATCTATAAAGCACAGGTATGCTGAACACTGCGTCAATCGTCGAACGGTTTTTCCGAAAACCCTGTTGCTCCTCGCCTATTGTGGTGTAACTGAGAATGCGTTGCTGCAGCATACGGGTGAACAATTTCATGGTCGTGTCTAGAAGCGATATTCCTCGGTAGTTCGCCGAATCTGAGGTTTTCCCCTTTTTGAATATTGGGATTGTGATGCTGTGTCTCCATCTCGCTGGTGTATTTTCGTCCTTCAATATTTTGTTGAATAGTTCTGCCAGCTGTCCCGCCAGTGCTTCTCCTCCGCACTTCAGCAGTTGGTTGGGGACGTTGTCCGGGCCTGGAGATCTACCGTTTTTCAGGTGCTTCATTTCGGATATCACTTCCTCCACCGTGTATTGTTCTACATCCTTGGATGCTTATGGCTTCCCTTCGGTTCAACCTCCCCCGCTCCTTGTGCCTTTGTTGTTTCTCTGTTCATCCCGGTTTGTGTACAAGCCCTGAAAGTAGGAGGTCCATTCGGCTGCCGAGATGTTGTTTAATTGTACTGTCTTATTTATTTCTCTCCCTGTTGCTCTGAGCATTTTCCATATGCGTTTTTGGGTTCCATATAAGTCACTTTCCATTTCTCTACTGAAGTTCTCCCAATGCTCTCTCTTTATTTCCCTTATGCGGTTGTTAACTCTATTCCTTGTTTCGATGTATTTGATGTGGTTTCTTGGAGTCTTGTTGGCTGTGTATGTTAGGTGAGCTTTTTTCCTTTCATGGGCCAGTATCTTCACCTCTGGTTTGAACCATTGTTTATTATTTCTGTGTTTTGTTGTTGTGTTGACTGTTCCCTTGCCTAGTGCCTCCTCCGCTGCTTGGTTTATGTTGTTTAGTAGAATGTCCCATGCGCGGTCTACTGTGTGTTGTGGGAGGATGGGTTCCCATTTCAATTTTTTGGGATATGAGTCATTTGTACAGATCCAGCGTGCTTTTTAATGACTCGATGTTGAACTTTGTTGTTGGGTTGTCCGGTTTGTTCCTATTAGCTGGCGGTCTTGCCATGGTGATCATTCCCATTACTAAGTTATGGTCTGATCCGATGTTTGCCGATGTTACTGATCTAACATCCTGTATTTGCTCTGGTTTAATGGCTCTATTCGACTAAAATTGAAGCTTATAATTGGTCGATGAGTACCAGTTGTATTACAGCAGAGAAAGACTTTATGAGCGGTTTGGGTAATCAGAGTAGGCCGCTTAGTCTTAAGGCAAGTCGATAACCTATATTTTAACCTGATTTTTCTCTTTATTTTGTCACATTTTACAAGAATCAATCAATTTCTCAATGTTGAACTCTTAGGAAGAGTCTTTTTTTTTTAAATAATTATTGATGTAATTCTTGCAATTGAGCAACCCAGTAAATTGATAGAACAGTTGAATCAATCAAAATTCTTGAATATTTTTTTGAAAATTGGGAACTATTTTCTTCAGTTGTGAAATTACATGTTAAACCTACTTCACTTGGATTAATATTCCAATATTATTGTTGAAAGGAACATGAGTTATTTTATTTTGAATTGAACGGCAGGACTTGCGTTAATTGAGTAAAGTAAAAAAATTAAAAACTAATATGTAGTGCAAAAAAAAAACTAATCTTGAAATTACATACAGAGACATGGCACTTTCCAATATAGATCGTAAAATGGCTTCCTGAGCATTACTATAAATTCGGTCCTGATTTTTAACCTAATGGATAACTTTTTCGCCTCTCAATGTACATTTATCAAACAGATAACACAATATTAAGGACGAGTATACAATATTAACAATTTTTGGGTAGTAGACAAGACACAACTGCATAAACGACGATCGCACAGATTGGGACATCCACAAAAAGGCCACTGTTCTCTAAACGACAAAACATTTTCACACAAACTACAACATCTTACTGCCATCCTGCTCTATGGGAGGACGTTTTTTTCTTATTGAGGCTCTAGAATGGGGCACGTTACTGTTTAAATCGAAGGACTCGTCAAGCCATTCAGTGTCTCGGTTTACCGACCCCAACTCTGTGTAATTAGGAAAGTTTGTACAGTACATTAATTATTAACAATATTTTATGCTTAAATTATTTCAATAACTATGTTTAACCAATATTAAATTCACCTATGATTATACATTGTATTCGGCCTATTAAATTATTAGGATTTCCCAAAATTAATACAAATTGTGTCATAGCTTTGGTACCTACCATCTTTGAATATTCCAGTACTTCTGCGAGGTCTACCATCAGTGTCAAAGGGTTGATTTAGGGCTACAAACTGCATCGAAAAGCCAAACACGAAGATGGCCAACACTGCTAAAAATCTGGCAAGGTCTTTCATTAAGTTGCCTTAAATTTGAAAAAAAATATATATATATTTAATTGATTATATTCACTTTGAAAAAGTGCATAAATTTATCATTTATGCACATGCATAATCTGTGCTTACCTATAATAATTGCCCAGGGTCCGAACAAATGGTGGAATGACAAAAAGTCCAAAATCTGCACGCACGCCAGCAAGAAACTTAAGGCGAAAAGCTGATTTCTACAGTACATTAGCGTAGGCCAGTATCGCCGTTCCACGAATAATAAACCCATCAAGTGTGTTCCTACTCCGAATATGCTGAATAATAATACTGAGATCTTTATCCATCCTAACCCACTTTTGTCACTTGGGTTAGTTAGTTCAAATAATAATAGACCACTCAACCACACTAATAGGATCCATTCATACCTAAAATAAAGCAAAGGTAAGTATTTTATTTATTATGTATCTTTCCCAAATATGTTTACTTACCAATAAGGTATCATACTTGTTCTATTTATGGTTGGATACGGAGGGGTTATACCCACGACCAAGAGGAACAACATGAGATAAATGTGAGAGGTGAGGTACGACATGAACTTGATTATGGGTACTTTGTAATACTTATGACCTAATGGAAGAGTGAAAGCGATCCAAACTGGTGGACATACTATAAACAACACAAAAAGGAGGAGAGTACGCCATGCCGCCCAGTTAAGCGCTCCCCTCCAGAGTTCCTGAAAAAAAAAATGGATACGATAGGCATGTAATATTTCCTAACAAAGTTATCATAAAATTGAACCAATGCGTAGCTCCTGTAGTCATTTATAGCTTAATTTTCAGAAATGGTTCAGAATAAGCGAAACGTTCAAAAAATTTGGGATTCAGGAAATATTTTTCTTTCGTTAAATCATGCACTTAAGTCATTTAGATTAAGTAAATTGGAGTCATGAGAATATTCATTCTTACCATACCTATCAGGGTAGGTATATATGACAGCTATCAATAATAGGAAGCCGCTTCGTTTTGACGTTTCTTATTCTCCGCGACGAACAAGTGCATTATACCATTCTTAAGTCATAAAATTCCTAAAGGAAAAAAAAAACTTTGCCTTGGTGACAAAGTTTTCATGACATATGAACTGACGAGCAAATTCAGGCCCGCCAAAAATTAGCCCATGCATCATTCGCATCAGTGCATCATTATGACGAATAAAATCAAATTTTCTGAATTCCTATTATTTCGCTATTATGGATGTATTTCAAATAGTTAAGTACAAAAAAATACAACGTGTTATCATACAACACGCTACTGAAGTGAAACTTCTCCAAACACACAAGCATGCCAGGAAAAAGGTTAGGTAAGGAATTGGTTCAATGGTATTATTTTGTACACTATTAATTGAAATCCGCGATGATGGAGCATATAGATATAAATTTGTATAATTTGTATGTCAGAATTTCATTTGTCATGTCATGTCATGAAAATGTTCCATATCTGTTGCATTTTTACGTTACATAGCAACTCGCATAAACAAATTCACCCTACCGTGCTTAAAGAAGTTTCACTCCAAAAAATGGTTCAAACTATTGAGGGAAAATAAATTCCATCTGCAACGAAATTAAAAGCATTATTTTAGACTAAGCCCTGTCTGTGCGGCCCAGACTAAATCATTTCTAGCAGAATTGACAATTACGAAGAGAAGCCGCGCCAGTATTGAAAATTGATTAACCTGTGAAAAATGCAGGAACTCCTTCGACTTGAGCCACAGATTCATTTACTCAGTTTTTACCTGTAAATATCGTTGGACCACAGTGTGGGCTATAACTTCTTTCTGTTCATTTTCGATAAGAACATCCAGAAATTCAACGTTCCTTCTATCAGTCGCTGTGAGGATTTTTCCTGCAGAGTCGGCGCCAGCAGCTGAGAAAAATTGAAATAAGTGTTTTTTTTTTTTTCGGTTATTCAAGCTTTTCGAAAATTATGCCATCCTTACCTAAAGCTAATAACTCGGTGGCCATAGCTTCACAAAACTTCCCTGCAGCGATTAAGTCTTTGGCTCTTTCTTTTTCTTTATTCGAAAGTAGTATTAAAATGTTAGAAAGTTTGGCTGCAGTGTCAACTGGAGCTGGTGACACCAGAATAAATTCCTCTATGGGTTTATTATTATGGTTTTTCGAACATACCATCAGGTTGTACACGAACCTAGCTTAGCAAAAACAATTATTAGTTCAAAAGACAAAATCCACTGGTATAAAATGCTTGTTATTAAAAATAATAATAATAATATCTAATAATAACAGCGGAGTAGCTCAGAAGAACTAGAGGAATTATGAAAACCGAATAGAACTCCAAAAACCTTACACTTCATTATATTTGCCGCAGGATTAGTATACACAACATAGGCCAGCTTCAAATAAACTAGAGCATTTATAAGAAAAAAATCTATAAAGCATAGTTGATCTTATATCCTACAATTGACATTATTGATGCAACGTCGAAAAATTAATTTCCTGTAAATCTGTTAGCATTTTACAATCGCGTAAAATTAAGTAAAATAAAGATATTTGTTTGTCTTAAGACATGATGATAATTAAAAAAAATGACTTCAAGCCAGTAAAAATACCTTCTGTCCTCCATTAAGGCGTATGTGTCGTGTTCCTTCGTCATCAAATATTCTAAAACAGCATGATGACCTTCAGAGGCAGCAAACCATATGGGTACTGCCCCAAGATTAGTTTCAGATTTTGGCGAAGCACCCGATTCCGTGAGAAGTTTAACAACTTCTACATAACCTGCCCTAGATGCGCAGTGGAGTGGTGTCCAACCGTTTTTATCCTGTGCGTTAATTTCTGCTCCTTGACCTAGAAAAAAATATAATAATATTTTATTTGTTTGTTGTGTATAAAGTGCAGCATGCCAAACATTGCGCTATAGTGTCACTTTGGCGACTGTGTCGACAAGTCAATATTCGAATTGGCCGTCATGAAATTTTCCGGCGATTGTTTATTTATTATTAAGACGACTATTCGCATACTAACGCAACGCGCGCAAGTATAGATTAAATGAACGGACATAACAATGTAAAGAATACACATACTGACGGATTCCGGGTCCAGTAAAACCCAATTCGCAAATAATAACAACTTTTATTGAACAAAATTGACTTTAAAATTTATCTATCCCTTATCGAAACTGACACAACAAATCTCGTATTTGAACTGACTACACTCTTATCCGCTAGTTATATTATAAAACCCTAAGCTATTATTATGCAAATAATTCCCCTTTTCAATGTTAAACATAGGCCTACGCCACTGTGAAAGCCCACGATATTATAAAGGTGCTGAGTAAGGGATATTGCCTGGAAAAGTACCGTCATATCAAGGTTTCGCCCACACAAATGCAGGCATCAGCAGTAATCTGTTCTAGTTTCATTCTTTTGTTTTTAGTTAACACTATAGCAATTAGAATCAAGATTCTTTTGTTTTCGGGCTTTTGCCGCTGTAATTTAAAGTGTATTTTTTTTGTAACTTCTTAGTTTTTAATAAAATAAATAGTTTTTGAAGACAAGATTTACTGAACGAAAAATATAATTGGCGCAGTTCGGATCTTCAGAGTGCTAGAGTCCTGAGATTGAATTTTCGAAAAAAAAGTGTAGTCCAGTTCGTTCCACTTCTTGTAAAAATCAGCTGAAGAAAAGAAGCAACAAGAACTAACGTACAAAGTTAAAGTGATACAGTTTCAAGCATCGTGCCTTGTAAGTACTTCCTTTTTCCTGAAAATTGTTATTTGTAATTGGTGTTTCATAATTAGGTTTTTTGGATATTTCTTTTTTTTTTAAAGAAACGATATTATTGGCTTAATTTATAAAAAGACCTACAAGCATATGTCAAAACATGTGAATTATGTAATAAGACAGAATATGAAAGGCAACCTTACAAAATAATATTCAAACACACATATTGAACACCTTTATATGGATACATACGTTGTTTCGAATCAAAAATTCCTAACAATTATTGACAGCTTTTCGAAGTTTGCACAAGCAATCCTAATTATTAGCAAAACTTCAGTTGAGATTGCATCACAACTAATAAGATATTTCAGAGACCATGGAATTCCACAAAGAATTACTTCTGATAACGGAACTGAATTAAAAAATGCAATTGTAACAGATTTATGTACTTTACATAAAATCGAATTTCATTATACTACTCCTCGAAATCCTAATTCGAATAGTCCTATTGAGAGATTACATTCTACCTTTAGAGAAAATTTAACAAGCTTGAAATTACAAAGCCCTATGAAAAACATTAATGTCCTAATGGTAATTGCAATCTTGAACTATAATAACAGCATATATTATAGTGTTATAGGTTATACACCTTTCCAAATAATTAAAGGCGATTTAAATTATTCCTATTGAAAATTCACAAATTAAGATACCCACAGATTATATCAATAATCCTGCCGAATCATTAGAAACTCTAAATAATGTAATTCATGACAAATTGATATCAAGACAAACACAAAATGTAGAGAAAATTAATAAACAACGTGAAAAAGAACCTGAATTAAAAGATCCTATTTTTATTAAGCAATTTGACAGAAATTAAATTAGTCCTCTATATGGTACTAAAACACAACACAAGTAAGATTTAGTAAACGAATGGTGAAGCGACAACATTTTGTTTCAGAAAAACCAAAATATTCCTGGCAACATTCATCATCCTCATCATAGGAACCACTTACATCACAACACAACATAACACTGCATGTTATCACATTAATACTACCCTTATTGGAAAAAGTATTAAAACTCTCGAAATAACTTTAAAGAATTTAAACAATACTTTAAATCAAACCAAATGGTCTAATAAAGACGAAATCGTTACTTTATTACAAGTCAATATTGAAACTAGTAAATCACGTATCAACGTATTAAAGAAATTTGTAAAACAATTCTCACACGAACGAAATAAATGCGCAGTATTCAATTTCATAGGTACAGCACGAAAATGGTTGTATGGAACATTAGACGCAAATGCCGGTGATAGATATGATTCTGACATTCAGACATTAAATAAGAATCAGACAACTATCCATAAAAATCTAAAAGATCAGGCAAACGTACTTAAACAAGTAACGAAAACATTTCACGATCAATTTTCAAATATCGAAAATAATCAGATATTAATTTCAGATAAAATAAGAAATATTTCGACGGATAATCAAAATATTTAAACTATCCCTATGATGAATCTAATTTCAGAAAACATTAATATGCACAGTAGTAAACTACGCGAGCTAGTCACCCACATACAAAACGCAATCACTTTTGCTCACGCAAGCATAATGCACTATACAATACTGCAGCATAATGAATTAAACTTGATCTTGAAACACATACCCACAAGTCGACAAATACCGTTTAACAACGGAATTAAATGCTATGAGACAATGTCCTCTCATGTAATAATTCAAAAGGAACTAATTATATTTACTATATTTACACCAATAATTAATCCTAAACCTTTTATATTGTATAAACTATTTCCTAAACCCATCCAAAATTATACAATTAGTGTTAAGTTTCATTACCTGTTATTTACCACAGACACGTATTACAATGCTTTACAAAAATTGAGGACATTTATTTGTGCAAAATGGAACTATTGAAACAAGATGAGCCCTGTCTTCACGATATTGTATCTAGTGAACAATAATAATGGCCTTTCACGAAAATTCAATACGAAGAATCGACAGTTGAAGAAATATCCAATAATCAAGTATTGGTTGTTCCAAAACGACATGTGACAGCAATGCTGCAATGAGACCAGAAAAAATACATGGAAATCATTTTCAGTCCAATCGTAATTTTCAAAGGAAAATGTGCAATAACAATTAACAATCGAACATTTTTGGAAGACACGCATGAGAACTTCAACCTAGAACTTGAACTACCCATCATCGACATTCCTGAACTTCTGGGAAATACCACAACTGTAAGACTAAAAGCAGTCCACCATGAAGCTCTTCAATCAGCGATTAAAGAACCAAACAAGTTAAAGACTGACCCATTAAATAATGTGTCACTGTCAAACTATATTATAATCTTAGTATTAAGTCCAATTTTTATAACAATTATTCTTATTCTATATTTTAAAGAAAAATGTAGTAAAACAAAAACTGAGGTGCAGATTGAATTGCTCAACATTGTTAATCAATCCCAATTTGCAATCAGTTAAAGGAGGTGTGGCCCAAAAATGAAAATTTAAGAGCAAAAAAATCTAAGAATAAATATTTAAACTGCATCTTGCTACGATGGTCCGTTTTCGAGTTAGGGCGGTTTAATATGCCAACTAGGTGTTCGTGACGTCACACTGGATTATCAGGGACAGTATTATTATTACCATGTGTAAGAATTTTCCAAGACAATTATCTCACTAGAGCGACTTGCAATCACTCAAAGTATAGAGTACGGTTCAGTGATGACTGAACGAACTGAAGACTGCGATTTCGGTGGTTGTGACATCACAAGTTCCTGCATAATTTATCTTCACAAGGAATTTTCTCGGAGACTATTTTGAATATAGGACTGCGGTTTTCACGAGAGATCTTAGAATTTTTTTCTTGATTTAAGTAGCTTAAGTCGTTTTTAGGGTCGCATCCCCTTTAAGGAGGGAGGAGTTATATTATAAAACCCTATGTTACAGATAATTCCCCTTCTCAATGTTAAACATAAGCCTACGCCACTGTGAAAGCCAACGATATTATAACGGTGCTGAGTGAGGGATATTGCTTGGACAAGTACCATATTATCAAGGTTTCGCCCACACAAATGTAGGAATCAGCAGTATTTTATTATAAATACTGCGCGCGGAGCCTCCTGTTTCATTCTTTTGTTTTTAGTTAACACTATAGCAATTAGAAAAAAGATAGAGTCTAGTATTTTTTGTTGTAACTTAGATTTAGTTAAATAAATAGTTTTTCAAAACAAGATTTACTGAACAAAAAATATAATTCGCTCTTATCTAGCTAAATTTAATCAGGCTCGCAGGCTGACTGAATGACTCACTACGCGCTATTTATAAACAACTAGTAGCGATATATTGACGGAAGCGGGGAAGAAGAACTATACATAAATCTCAGCGAAACCATCTTATTAATTCCGTCAGTCACAAAAAAAAGGAAACTGGATCTCAGAGGACCCAGTCTAAAGGAAACACAATTTTTCGGTGAGGTTAATTATTTAGATTAATCTTGGCTCACAAACTCAGTTATAACTTATTACTGGATACTTAGGTATTAGTTGGAACAGCCATCTGAACAGAATAATCTCACGACATATAGCGACTACTTTGACATGCCGTAAACTGGTGAGAAAAACGTGAGCACATAATTCAAAAATGGTGTAAATTTAATCAAATTACAATGGCTGATCTATCCAGGAATAATAGAGGAGCTATATCAACCTGCTCCATAGCAGTCTTAAAGGCTCCTGCAGGCAAAAAACCTTAAATCTGGCGATCTGAATGGCCACTAATCCATCTTTGGAGGCCATAAAGCTGGAGTGCCACAGTAAACCAACAGATACTTAAAATGGCAATTACATAAGACTTATACATTCCATTTGAATTCGAGGTAAAAAACTGCCAGTCGTGGAAGAACATAAAGCTGCAGGAAGCGGACAACGGGTAAATGTGGTACACAGACGGTTTGAAGCTAACAGAGGGAGTCCGTTTGAGGATAAATCAACCAAGTTTCAAACTCTCCTTAGCAATGGGAAAAAAGTTAACATTATCAATTGCACATCGCAACTGGTTTGGAAAGGTGAAAACTGTGAAAAGATCCTGAAGCTGCGAGGAACGAAATAACCCTGATGAGGAAACCAGGACATCAAGGCATAGATGGCAAAGAGAACGGAGATTTTCACGCAAAACAAAGGGCTAAATCAGTTTTCCAAGACCCAGACCAATTCTGTGGACTAGGAATGAATAGCCACGTTATGGCAGAACTGAGCAGATGGGAAACGAATCAAGGCTTATTCACTGGACATTCATTCCGGCTCTCAGACAGTCAAAGAAGTTCATATCCGTCTCAGCAAAATAATCTGAGCAACTTCTTGACATGCACATTATGAGCATTGTCTAGTTAAATATTATCTAAAAACGATATGCAAAGTAGAGAGTGACTTCGACTTCTGCAGATCTTAGGAACAGGAAACAAAAATAGCTAAAGATCTATTAAGTGAACGCCCTGCTCAGTTTTGAGAGATGCTGAAATACATTGAACGGGCACGGCTAACGCCCCAAGAATTGAGTACCACACAACCTAAGAAGTTTCTTTTGGGAGAAACCTGCAAATATTAGGCGCCAACAAGAAGCAGAGTCATGCACGGAATATTTGTGAAAATAGCAGTGCTGACCGGCTTTATTAACGAAGTGACTCCAGATGCAAGCTACAATTTATAATCTACCAAGAATATAATATCTCAACGATTACACATTTCAACTAGTTTTAGTGAAAAACTGTGATATCACTCTATTGTTTGTTGTTGTGAAACTTTTATAGCTTGTGTTCCCATTCGTCGCTTCGGAAGGTAGCCTCAACGAACAGTAACATGTAACCGGTGCTCTGACGTCACAGCTTCATGACGGATACAGCGACGTATGGACAACTCAGGTTGCCTGTGTGCAGTTTCTGATACGTGCACAAGACCACATACGGGATTGGCGATACAGTAGCCATTCACCATCTCGTTTTGCGTTTGTGAATATCAGAAGCGTTATAAAAAATATCCATGTAGGACTACCAATAATAAAACTCTCGCTATCTTCTGCTGTTGAGGCAATGAAGTTAGCCAGTGAAAAAGGGCGGTTGAATCAGATTTGGCCAAAAACTATGACGTCATATCAAGGCTTCCTCGACGCATGAAGTCAATTAGTTGAGTCGTGAAAATGCGTTAAGGTTCCTGGTATGTAAGTTTAATGAGCTCTCATGCGAAATGACCACAATTTTATTTTCCAAACTTCACCCTGGTTTCTTTTGTAACATTTCAAATGTCACAAGCATCTATATAGGTACGTCATTATTAATACATAATGTTATTTATAAATAATTTCCATTTTGCCTAGCGACATTTATCTTCTATCTTGGCGTCGGAACCAATTTGTATCTGTGTGATAATTCAAAAAATCAGAAAATCCCTACAGAAAAATCCGAAAATTCGTACGCGTTGACAGTCCAGTTATTATAAATTATTAATAATTAAAATATATCTGCCGATGCGCCCCAGATTTCGTCTATAAGTTCATATTAGTAATGTATACCTATTTCATAAAATTGCCTCTATATTAGCCACCGTTTTGAATTACGGTCTTCCGAACAGTTTTCCTGATTTGGCAACACTCCCGGAAGTGCTTTTGGCGAAATTGTTATACGAAATGCGGTAAGAATTTGGAATTCTGTTCCCAGACTATCAGGTTTTGTGCGTTACTTTTCACTGAAAAAACTATACTTAATCGTTCTACAGGATCGTATCTGAAATCCGGCAATACTACAATCGTAACTAGAAATTTCCCATACTATAAAATGCGACGGAATGCATTCCCCACTTGCTAAGTTGCGCCCAGGTAGTAATGAAAAACTCGAGATACTGGGACATCTGCAATTTGCAAAACTAATTCAAAATAAAAAAAATGAGCGCGTGAGCGACAACAAAAAACAGTCGTTGTGAGATGGAAAAAGGAATAAAGAAATTATTTTTCAATGCTACTGGCAACGGAAAATAAATTTGTCTCCTTCCATTGAGAATAGTACCAAAGTTAATGATGCGCGAGAATGATCAAGCTCTGTTGAAAAAAGTTAACGCGAAGGACTTCCGGGGTGAACATTCATCAACGCCTACACACGTTTTTTTTTCAATTCGCGTTGATAAATACACGTAAGCACATTAATTCATCTACCATACATGTGTAGTGCTGCGCAAGTGGAAGTTATGCAATGAATATTTTATTTGAATCTTCTGGTATAGTCATGCATGTTCAATCTCCGACACGAATAACTCAAAACAGATCTAGCACTATCGACTACGTCGTGTCATCTTTTGATCCAAATTTCGTTGACTGTTCTGTTTTGAGTTCAGGTTTTTCAGATCATGAAGCAGTACTCACAAACTTTTCTGTGAAGACGATTGGCAGGGACGCTCCACATAAGTTACGCAGAATTTTCTCTGAAAAAAATTTTCGAAATTTTAGGCGCCTATGTCAATCAATTGCTTGGGATTGCCTCTCTGATGACATTGATAGTGCATTTTCTACATTTGCAAATACACTTTCTGGTTTGGCTTCCAAGGCATTTCCTCTTAGGCCTATCAAAAAAATGCAACATAAACCTTGGACTACTAAAGGCTTGCGCGTATCTGCAAAGAACATGCGCTCGTTGGTACACCTTAAATATTTTTCGGACAATCCCTTCTTCCAAAATTACGTTAAATGTTATAGAAAAACTTATCATAAAACAATAAAAGCCGCCAAAAACCTCTATTATGACAACCGGTTCGCTCGAACCGAAAATATTGCCAAGGAAATGTGGTCTATTGTCAACGATTTGAGAAATAAGGCTTCTTCATCCAGTATAACCTCTACCTCACCTGAGAACATGAACGATTACTTCGTTAATGTCGCAAAAAATTTAATGACCACTGTAGTTCCGACCTGCGATCCACTTTCGTATCTTTCGAATACCAATATGAATTTACACAGTTTTTTTCTAACACCCGTGGAAACATCAGAGCTTTGCAGTACAATTAAAGACATCAAAAACAAATTGTCATCTGGGACTGATGGGCTCACTTTAAAAATGTTTCTCAATTTACCAGAATGTACATTGAATCTCCTCACCACTTTAATAAATAAATCATTCCAACAGGGTGTTTTCCCAAATTGCCTTAAGACGGCTATAATTATTCCTCTGCATAAGGGTGGAGATAAAGATCTAGCTTCGAACTATCGTCCAATTGCACTTCTTCCCACTTTATCAAAAATCATTGAAAGATTGGTTAAGAAAAGGCTCCTATCATTTCTGCATAAATATAAGATACTAACTACTCACCAGTTTGGATTTCTAACCAACAGATGTACTATTGATGCTATGTACTCTGTCTTCAATAATGTTTACTCTAGCCTGAACAATTTGCACTCTACAGCATCAATTTTCTGTGATTTTTCTAAAGCATTTGACTATGTAAGTCATAATATCCTAATCAACAAATTGCAGTACTACGGAATTCGAGGCTTTCCTCTGGAATGGTTCAAGTCGTATCTTAACAACAGAAAACAACTTGTGAGGGTTGATACGTCAATATCTTCATGCAGGCCAATTGAATGTGGAGTTCCGCAGGGTTCCGTGTTGGGTCCAATATTATTTTTGCTATTCATCAACGACATTGCTAGTCTAGACATCAGCGGTAAAATCTGCCTCTTTGCTGATGATACTAGTTTCACTTGGAGCAATCCGGATATTGTGGCACTTCATAGAACCATGTCCAATGATTTGTTTACCATTAAATGATAGTGCGACTCTAACCTTCTCTGTTTCAACGCCGCGAAAACCAAAGTTCTGTCATACAAAAGTACGTTGCAACCTATTGCACTTAATAACGCCACTATTATTGACGTCGTTGATTCTGTGAAGTTTTTGGGCCTTATTATAGACAAGTCCCTGAAATGGAGATTGCACATCGATGCTTTCTCCAAAAAATTGAGCTCCGCTTGTTTCGCAATAAGATCTGTTTCCAAGGAACTTAACTTTTCAACCTCTAGATCAGTCTACTTTGCCCTCTTCGAATCACATCTTCGATACGCCCTTCCATTCTGGGGTACATGCGGTGCGACTCAATTTGAGCTTATCTTTAAATTGCAAAAAAGGGCTATTCGTTATTCTCTTAGGCTAAAGAATAGAGCCCATTGCCAAGTTTTTTTCAAAAAATATAAAATATTGACACTCCCTTCCTTATTCATACTAGAGTCAGTCTGTTTAATCCGCAAACACCTATCAAGTATTTCAGAAAGGCCATTCCATCATTATCCACTTAGAAACACGGAGCATGATCTTTACCTGCCAACCCCATCCTCAGAATTAGTTAAGAGCTCTATTCTGTACAACGCAAAAAAAATGCACAACCATCTGCCAATAGAAATCAAGTCCATATCTTCTCTTTCTAAATTCCGCATAGCTCTCAAATCATATTTGTTGGAAAGAGCCTTTTATAAGGTAAATTACTTTTTTGCGAACACATAATTTTGAGCATTCCACACACTGGAGCATTGTTTATAGGTAATTTGTTTTGTTAATAATTTATTAGACTAATTTAGTTTATTTTATACCTCGAACTCGATGTACCATCGTCACCAAAAGTAACTGGGACAGCATCACATTAGCTCTGGTCCTATTATATGAATTTTATTGTCAAATATTTGTCAAACTATGGATACTATGCATTGAAATGAATGACAGTAGAGTTAGTCCAGGAGATTATTATGCATTATTTGTGTCCCAGATACTTTTGGTGACGATGGTACCTACTTATGTATTTTGTTTGTTTTGTTTTGACTTTGTATACAGATAGATGTATATTATTTTTATGGCTTTGTCAACAAATTTTGTCAAATTTTTTTCCTGAGAATAAAGCATTATTATTATTACCATACACTATTAAGAATTGATTCATTAGGTATTTCATTTTGGATGCATTGATTGTTCAATACTGACCTAACAAGACTTCAACCATCTGATAATGCCCATGTGTGGCAGCAATATGGAGTCCCGTCTTGCCATGCCGGTCTTTACTTTCTAGCAGTTCAGCTGATCTGCTTAATAATAATCCTACAACTGTAACATGACCGCCATAGCAGGCAAGATGCATAGGATTGTATCCCTAAACAAAATAATCATTATATACGTTTTACTTCGATTATTCTAGTCTTACGTTCTCATGAGTCGCGGCATCAACTTGGACCCCAGCAGAATTTAGTAGCAACCTCACGACATTTTCTTTACCCGAAAAAGATGCCAAATGTAAAGGCGTCATCCCAGATTCATTCCCAAGAGCTGGAACTAGAGAAGCGCCGTTCGGAGCTTCAGATTTTACAGTACCGGATAAGTGGGTGAGCAGTTCTCTAACAGTGTCTGCTTGGCCAAAATATGCCGCAACGTGGAGTGGAGTTACTCCAAGCTTTTTGCTTGTCACCCTTAGATTATTGGAGGAACGGAGTACTTCAAGCACTTGCATGTGACCATACTGGGCCGCTAAGTGTACTGCAGTAAAACCTCCTAGGAATGTAAATAATTGCTTTCTATTCGGTAGTGGAGAGGGAAATTCATTCACTTACCTTTATTTTCATCTGTTACTGAAGCGCCTGCCCGTACCAATGCCTTCACAACTTCTGCATGACCTCCCTCAGCAGCCATTTGTAGAGGAGTAGCATCAGTCACTTTATTTCTAGCAGATATGACACCCTACGAAAATGTAAGAAAATTTCATTGAATATTACAGCAAAATATTTTCAGTGAGAAGACGTTCGAAAAATTGTTCATTGTTGCTTTCCGGTAACACCAATCTGATTATAATCAGGTAAGAAGGTTTATTGATCCAGTTGAGAAAATTATCGAGGTTGAATTAAAAGCGTTCATTCTAATGATCCGATTTACTCGTTTGAATTTGAATTATTATCGAAATTAACGATAACGAAAGAGCCCGAATCAAATTAAAAACTAAAATTATGAAAATTCGAAAGTGAAATGTTCGATTTTTTTCCTAGAATCAACGCATTAAACATGGGCAAAAAACAAAAATAGAGATAGGGGATTGATTTAGTGCATTTGGAATAGCAAACAGCTGACAGGTATCTGCGGAAGAGATCTTAAATCAGTTTTTCTTAATCCTCCTAATCCGAGATCATTGTTACTGAAAGCGTCTTAACTATACTTCACTAAGAAAGGATTTAGCAATTATCAGAATTAGTTTTCCATACCTGTCTATCAAATTTCATGAGTTCTTCTATGACCGTTACACTACCTTGCGCAGCTGCGATGTGCGCGCACGTATTGCCATCTTTAGTAGTGGCCATTACTAAGCTTGGATGCTGTTGTAAAAAAAGTTTGGCAACTTCGGAAAAATTGTTTTGGCAAGCGGCATGAATAGGTTTCTGGCCATCCTCATCTAGAAAATAATGTGGATAATGTAAATTCCAAATGAATTATTCAAATAATAATCAATATTTATTTACCGGTAGCATCAATATCAGCTCCTAGCTCCAGCAAGAGCTTACAAACCTCAATTTGGCCGGCACCAGCTGCTAAATGTAAAGGCGTTTGCTTTTTAAGAGTAAGAATATCTATAACGGCATTGTGGTCTTTTATAAGAAACTTAACCAAATGGACATACCCATTCATAGCAGCTAAATGCAATGCTGGAATAGAAATAAAGTATAATGCCAATCTATTTTATTATAAATTTTCGCGTTTACCTGTTCGACCGTTTCTTGATTTAGAATTGATAAATGCCTTATTTGTTAACAATGAATCGCATACATGAAGATAACCATGTTCAGCTGCTAAATGTAACGCGGACCTACCTTCCAAATCAAAAACATCTACTCTGGCATGATTTGCCAAAAGGTTATTTACCAAATCAATATGTCCTAAAAAAGTTCTATGTAGCAAAAAAAAAATTTGGAATTTCAATTTACCTCTGTGTGATGCTATTAGTAAAGGTGTCCAACCAACTGCATTCTGCCTATTCAATGCCTTTTGAGCATCAGTTGGAGTCATGTGGGCAATCATTTCTAATAGCACATCATTATTACCGGCAGATGCAACTAAATGAAATGCCGTTTCGTGTTGTTTTGTTTGAATTTTGATGTCAGCGCCATTTTCAAGCAGAAGTTTAACGACCTCGCTGAAAAAAACAAAGACATTGATGATTTTAAGTTATGGAAAATTGAACCCTAGTACACAGTAGAGCTTATAATAGAGAGCACTGTATACAGAGAGTAACAGGCTAGTAGACACATAGGTCTTAATGTGACCAGTTGACTTATACCCATTTCACTGCAGGATCGTTATGGAGGATCATTGATCGTCCGCGCATGTTATCAAAATCCGTGCATCTTCGGCAGTTCGGCTATACTCGGTTTCGGCAGAATTGCCTCGATTGGCCTAAACCGGGTACAAGCTAATTCGTCTTATCACTCCCTATGTGTCTAGTAGGTTGGTCCGGTCTGTATCATGTCTCGTGGATGATGAGACGTCTTCAATAAAGTCGCTCAAAAACCCACTCAAGCCCATCTGAGTGACCTTCCTTTCCAGAGAAGAAACAGCTATCAACCAACTGGAGAAAAATAAACATGATGCGCTAGACAGAGTCTTTGCTGAGCTTTTTAGGCTGGGGGCGTGCGCTGGACGAACAACATAGGTTCATTGTCAAAATATGGAACACCGAGACATTTTCCACAGATCTGCGAGACACCTCTATCGTCACTATATTCCAAAAAGGCCGAAAGGCACAGTGTGGAAACTACTCTCTAACTGAAACGGCAGACATGATCTTAAGTGCAAGACAAATGCAAGAAAAATCGAAAGCCTAAATACATCAACATACTTCGTTAACTGCATGACAACATCAACGCCACTGTTCTCACCAATAACAAACTTGTAGAAGCCTTTAAAATCACAACCAGAGTGAAGCAAAGATGTGTCATTGTATCAACTTTATTCTCTATAGTTGGAGGAACCGAACTTCACCTTGTCCAAGAAAGCTGGTAGTTCATATTTCCTATAGAACTAATAGTTAGCTATTCAATCCAAGCAGACTTCTAGCCGAGATCAAGAGAGATCTTGGCCGCATCATTATTCACAACTTCTCCCCTATTAATTGCAATCAGCGGTAGCCAGTCGCTGTTATAAACCTGCTCTTGGCAGACGTTATCCTACCAGTTACCCACATCGATTTGACACGCTTTCATGTTTGCCTTGATTGATGGATTGATTGATTTGAAAGAAGAGCCTTTACAGGCAGCACGTAGACGCGCATATGGTCCATTGTGCTATCCACCTCTTGGTGCAACCATATCTTACCTTAGCCTGCAACTTTCAAGAAAGGTGCAGACCCGCTCAGGCCGGCTTTATTTCATCACGTTCCAGGAAACTGTACCCGAGGTATCGTAGTCTGCAACTGACGAGGCCGTCACATTCGCAGAATATATGCTTGGTAGTTTCATCTACTTCGCTGCAGAACCTGCATTTCGTCTCATTGCTGAGTCTGATTTCGTGCAGGTGGTATCTGACCACCCAGTGTCCCGTCAGAATGCCTGTGATAACTCTCAGTTGGCTCCTGTTTAGTTTTAGCAGGCTTCTTACCTCATTGCAGTTTGAAGGACCTTGTATAAAGATCCTTGACTGTCTGAGGTCTCCTTGCTTCAGCCATTCGTCTTGGAACCGGTTGTTGGACCAGTATTACTCAGCCCTCTGTGAACCCATTGTCCCCAATCGTTGAGTTTGACAGAAGCCTTGGGCCCGTGCCTCCACAAAGAGATGGAGAGGCATTATTCCCAGTATGGCTTCCATCGCCAGCATTGGAAGGTTCTAATGGCTCCAATTGTAGCCATGCAGGCAAGTCGTTGGAGCTTTTCCAGCTTTGCCCTGTAGGTAGATTTGCTGAGCGCGTTCCACCAAACTAAGCTGCCGTACGTGATCATTGGCCTTATCACTCCTGTGTAAAGCCAGTGGACTATGTGGGGTTGTTAACTCCAGGTATGCCCGATGGATCTTCTACAGGCCCAAAGGCTAGCAGTGACTCTATAGACGACCCTGTTGACGTGATCTTTCCAGGTCAGCCTGGATTCAATGATGACTCCTAGATATTTGACGGTACCGGATGGAGCAAGTCTCGATCCAAAGAGCGCGAGCCCTTCCAGATCCACGTTTCTTCGCTTTGTAAATGGCACTACCTCGGGCTTGTCCAGATTCACCGTAAGCCCGTGATTTTTACAGCATCTTTCTACCATGGTAAGAACTCTTTGCATGATCCCTTTGCTGGTTCTGGGTACCCTACCAGCAACAAAGATGACAAGATCGTCCGCGTAGCCAACTTCCTCGCTCAGAGTGCGGAGCAGCCGATCCAGCAGAAACGATAGTACACCCTTCTGAGGGCAGCCTCTGGCTCCGGTTGATCTGATCTATAAATGCCATATACAATGGTCTGTTTTACTCTTTCGATTTTCCTTGCATTTGTCTTGCACATTTAGGTCTAAAGCCACTGTTTTGGGCAGGATTGCTTCGGCTTGGAGAGAAACCTGGCAAGAATTTTTCCGGCTATAGAGAGCAGTGATATTCCTCGGTCAAGTCCACACTGTGCCTTATCGCCTTTTTTGAATATAGTGACGATGGAGGTATCTCACAAACCTGTAGGAATTTCCTCGGTGTTCCATATTTTGGCAATGAACTTATGTGTATGTTCGACGCACGGCCCCTGTCTAACCCATCTGCTTTAACCGGTGTGAAACTAGCAGCCGCATTACAGCAGCCAAAGTGTGAAGTTGGCAGCCAGTTACAGCAGCCAAAATGTGAAGTTAGCAGCCTGTTTTAGCAGCCATTTTTAAGACAACATGGATAATGTCATAACTAAATTTTAAACTTTTGTTTCGAAAAATATAAATTTTTCTCCATTCGCCTGCGTGATTATAAAGACGCAGAAGAATCGAAAAAAAAAATGTAGGTCGTGAAAAATGGAGTTCCGCGATTAAACTTGGTAGTATCATTGACGATGTCCTAAAGTACTCCTATACCGAGTCTCATCTCCTTAGGCCCCGTCTGACATGGAGAAAATGGGACATAATAGAAAAATCGATAAAAAATCAAAAGTCACTTTCAAAAATGGTGTTCCGCGATTAAACTTGGCAGTATCATTGGTGATGTCCTAAAGAACTCCTATACCGAGTCTCATCACCTTAGGCCCCGTCTGACATGGAGAAAACGGGACATAATGGAAAAATAGATAAAAAATCAAAAGTCACTTTCAAAAATGGTGTTCCGCGATTAAACTTGGCAGTATCATTGGTTGTGTCCTAAAGAACTCCTATACCGAGTCTCATCTCCTTAGGCCCCGTCTGACATGGAGAAAACGGGACATAATAGAAAAATCGATAAAAAATCAAAAGTCACTTTCAAAAATGGTGTTCCGCGATTAAACTTGGCAGTATCATTGGTGATGTCCTAAAGAACTCCTATACCGAGTCTCATCACCTTAGGCCCCGTCTGACATGGAGAAAACGGGACATAATGGAAAAATAGATAAAAAATCAAAAGTCACTTTCAAAAATGGTGTTCCGCGATTAAAATTGGCAGTATCATTGGTGATGTCCTAAAGAACTCCTATACCGAGTCTCATTACCTTAGGCCCCGTCTGACATGGAGAAAACGGGACATAATGGAAAAATAGATAAAAAATCAAAAGTCACTTTCAAAAATGGTGTTCCGCGATTAAAATTGGCAGTATCATTGGTGATGTCCTAAAGAACTCCTATACCGAGTCTCATCACCTTAGGCCCCGTCTGACATGGAGAAAACGGGACATAATGGAAAAATAGATAAAAAATCAAAAGTCACTTTCAAAAATGGTGTTCCGCGATTAAACTTGGCAGTATCATTGGTGATGTCCTAAAGAACTCCTGTACCGAGTCTCATCACCTTAGGCCCCGTCTGACATGGAGAAAACGGGACATAATGGAAAAATAGATAAAAAATCAAAAGTCACTTTCAAAAATGGTGTTCCGCGTTTAAACTTGGCAGTATCATTGATGATGTCCTAAAGAACTCCTATACCGAGTCTCATCACCTTAGGCCCCGTCTGACATGGAGAAAACGGGACATAATAGAAAAATCGATAAAAAATCAAAAGTCACTTTCAAAAATGGTGTTCCGCGATTAAACTTGGCAGTATCATTGATGATGTCCTAAAGAACTCCTATACCGAGTCTCATAACCTTAGGCCCCGTCTGACATGGAGAAAACGGGACATAATGGAAAAATAGATAAAAAATCAAAAGTCACTTTCAAAAATGGTGTTCCGCGATTAAACTTGGCAGTATCATTGATGATGTCCTAAAGAACTCCTATACCGAGTCTCATAACCTTAGGCCCCGTCTGACATGGAGAAAACGGGACATAATGGAAAAATAGATAAAAAATCAAAAGTCACTTTCAAAAATGGTGTTCCGCGATTAAACTTGGCAGTATCATTGATGATGTCCTAAAGAACTCCTATACCGAGTCTCATAACCTTAGGCCCCGTCTGACATGGAGAAAACGGGACATAATGGAAAAATAGATAAAAAATCAAAAGTCACTTTCAAAAATGGTGTTCCGCGATTAAACTTGGCAGTATCATTGATGATGTCCTAAAGAACTCCTATACCGAGTCTCATCACCTTAGGCCCCGTCTGACATGGAGAAAACGGGACATAATGGAAAAATAGATAAAAAATCAAAAGTCACTTTCAAAAATGGTGTTCCGCGATTAAACTTGGCAGTATCATTGATGATGTCCTAAAGAACTCCTATACCGAGTCTCATAACCTTAGGCCCCGTCTGACATGGAGAAAACGGGACATAATGGAAAAATAGATAAAAAATCAAAAGTCACTTTCAAAAATGGTGTTCCGCGATTAAACTTGGCAGTATCATTGGTGATGTCCTAAAGAACTCCTATACCGAGTCTCATAACCTTAGGCCCCGTCTGACATGGAGAAAACGGGACATAATGGAAAAATAGATAAAAAATCAAAAGTCACTTTCAAAAATGGTGTTCCGCGATTAAACTTGGCAGTATCATTGATGATGTCCTAAAGAACTCCTATACCGAGTCTCATAACCTTAGGCCCCGTCTGACATGGAGAAAACGGGACATAATGGAAAAATAGATAAAAAATCAAAAGTCACTTTCAAAAATGGTGTTCCGCGATTAAACTTGGCAGTATCATTGATGATGTCCTAAAGAACTCCTATACCGAGTCTCATAACCTTAGGCCCCGTCTGACATGGAG